CCCCGATCTGGGCGGACAAGATCAGTGCAGATAGGAGGTCTCTAGCCGTTCTTCGGAAGACGCAGAGAAGATTGGCGGTACGGGTCACGAGGGCCTACAGAACAGTGTCGCATGCGGCGGCAACGCTCCTTGCAGGAATGGCCCCGATAGACTTGATCGCACAGGCATATATCAACGCCTATAGGCGCATCGCTGATCTGAAAGCACAGGGGGTTCCTATAACGGGGAAGGTCAGGAGACTAATCAACTCCGAGGCGAAGAGGGAGGTCAGGGGAGAATGGGAGGCGAGACTTGCGTACCCTAGCTGCCCGGGCCAACGCACGGTTAGCGCTATTCTCCCGCGCATGGAGGCCTGGCTCGAGAGGACCTGGGCGAGGGCCTCGTATAGAACGACGCAGGTGCTCACCGGGTATGGGTGCTTCGGTGAGTACCTGTGTCGTATAGGTCGTGAGCCGAATCCGGCTTGTCATCACTGTGAAGAGGATCTCGATACGGCGCAGCACACGCTGGACTCTTGTCCGGCGTGGGACGACCAGCGCCGGGTTCTGAGGGACCGAATTGGCGCGGACCTGTCGCTCCCTGCTGTGGTGGGCGCAATTGTGGAGCGGGAAGACACGTGGGAGGCGTTCGCCACATTTTGTGAGAGGGTCATGCGCGCTAAGGAGGACGACGAGCGCGTGAGAAGAGGAGAAGTGGAGCCTCCAGGCACACAAAATAGGAGAGGCGGAGGAGCACGGCGCGGGCGCGGACGGCGCGGCATAGCTGCCCATCGGCGGCCGTGGTAGAGCGGGGTGAACCTCCCAAAAAGGGAATCCCCACTTTCACCTTCGCAACAATAAGAGGAGCAACCAGCAGAAAAACTACTGACGAACTCTGGCAACGAGGATGATGAAGCCTTCGCCGAACACCAGGGGAAGAGCTGTAGGAAAATGGATTCGCCACACAACATCAAGGCGACTGGACGGGACCTCTAAAAGGGTCCCTCCAGGGCGTACGGGTCCCGCTGGAAGAATAGGCCCAGGGTATCACCTGCCTGTCGTAAAAGGCGACTGAAAGGTGCAGAGTTCGAGGAGTCGAGGGGACTCCTAGGCGGGCGTGCGCTGGGAATCTCATGACCCGCCTGCCCCCACACACAACCGAGGGGCGCGGCGGAGGGCCGGGTGGCACCCCCGCCGCAAATTGGAGGAGAAGGCCCTTATCAGGGCCAGGCCCCAACACCAGGGCGTAGAGGTGCGCGAAGTTACGCGCGGCGCGGGGATTGTGCGGGAAGACTGCGTTTGTATACCCCGACAGTCCCCAATAGCGCAGAGAAGTCCACCCCCGGTGGTTTTAGTGCGATAGGCGCCCTCCATTGCACGCTGGCCCCAGGTCGTCAATTGCCTGGGGTACAGGGAGGGCGAGTCCCACACCTCCCCCGTCTCTGTCCCAGCAGGGCGGGGGGACGGTCCATGAGGATTTCCACCGGGTCTCAAAAAAAAAAAAAGTTTGTCCAATATAAGAGGCTTTGCAGTCTTTGCATTCAATGTGGTATATTACTTCAGTTTTTTTGTCCCAGTTTATTTGGTCTTTGCCTCTTTTTATGATTTTGTCTAGTTTTTTTGGGACTGTATAAGCAGTATTCAGACCTATTTTTTTCAAATTCGTGCTGATTTTTTCGGTCAGTCCTTTAATGAAAGGGAGGATAATGCTTAATTTAGGATCAAAGGTTATTTTTTCCCACGGTCTGTAAGAGTCGTGTCACGTCTATTTAATTCATTGAGTCTAATATTAATGTTTGTCAATAATTTTGTACGGAAAGCAGTTGTTAAGTAAAATTTTTTTACCTAGAGCGATGTTTTGTTTTCAATATATCTTGTCCGAAAGTAAAATAGCGTGGTCAACTAAACGAATAATAGTGTTGGTCTTGTATTTAAAAGGGTGACTAGAATGGTAGTTAATATAATGGTAGTTATGGAAGACCTTGAAGTGTCTTGCCTGCAGAGACTAGATTTCAACGTACCTATATTTTACAGATATGTTGACGATATTATTACAGCATTACCTACGACCAAAATTGACACTGTCTTAGCCATATTCAATAATTATCATCCACGACTAAAATTCACTTATGAAATGGAATCTAACAACTCCATCTCATTTCTGGATGTGAGTAGGGTATATATAGGAGTTCTGGACCACTTTTTGGGAGGGGGTATGGTGGACCTAACCGT